GCAGGAATTTGGGTTGTTGCATTACACTACCGAGGAGAAGCTATGAGAACCGGCAACCCCAAATGGGCTACTAAAACTGTATGTCTGTGTGTCAGGGGAAAAATATAGCTGAAAATTATGTTTCTCACCTAATCTCCGTCTCTCTCATTCTCATTCAAAGACAAGTATACACATACCCACACAGTCTGAGCTACTCTCAGCAGAAGGGCGACATATGAAAATTTACTAGTCTAAACCACCCCTGGAGACGACCTAAAGTAGCCTTTCTATGCATAAGTAATGGGCACCTATCAAGAGACAGCTATTTCAGTACCATGATGAGAGGCAATAAATCAAATAGCAACCACTGGCATTTTTTGGATGAAGGAAGTATTTTACGTAGGAGACGGGGTCCTCCCTGTCCAGCTCCCCCGAGTCTTCAACTAAGACAAATTAAATATGTGATTTATTCATGTTTTTCAATTCCGTTTTTAAAGGAATTGCATAATTGGGAATACAGAAATGGCCTCACTGAAGTCAAGGTAAGCGTTGCCATCAATTTCAGCAGAACCAGGATATTCCTCCAAAAGGGGAAAAATTATCTGCTCATGTAAAGGGACACTTACCATATCTGGAAGTCTCATTATTTGGCAAGTTAGCTCGAAGAATGAAGTTGTTCAAGCTGTTGAGATAGGCTGGAAGGCTGTGATAACCTTCGGGATTATACCACACCTGCACACACAATTGAGGAATTGAAACAATTTGGGAGAGAAATTGTTACTGATAACATTTTGGTTTGTTCTGCTTGCACAAATGAATCATTCCATGGTTACTATCTAAAGTCGTAAGCTCTACAAGTCAAAGTCCAATGATTAAACCACACCAAGGACTGAATTTCACTTTGAGTACAAGGAGTCCCATCATCTTCATCTCCTTTCTAGGAAAGAAGAAAGAAGCACTCGCTGCGTATGTGACAAAGTGTACAGAAACTTGGTTTCTTCTCTGTAATAAGTTGTTCAGATTTGATGAACACCAGCAGTGGGGACTTCACAAAAAAGGCTAAGCCAGTCACGTGCCTAACACCTCTTGAAAGTTGGAGGGGGTAAGGTTGCTTTAGGGCAAAAAACAACCAGTTGTCACCTTCTCATTTGGCACTACCCTTCCCTCCCCATTCTAACTTTTCTTCCCCATGCCACGACAAACCCCAAGGACCGAGGGGAAAAAAATCACATCCCAGGACACGTGCTTTAGAGGGATTTACTATTACCTACTTTAGGCAGAAGCTGCAGCACCCAGGTTGGAGGTGTAAGTTATGTATCAAAGGACAGAGAGCTTAGGCTATGAAACACAGCCCACAGAATCCACCTTTGCACGTTCCCAAGTCCTACGTGCTCAGTAATTTTATTCTCGTTGTCCTTGCAGAGCAAGGACTGGAGTCTCCCCTGCTTCCAACACTATCAAGGTTTCCAGGTATTACATCTGTCATGTAAGTAAATAGCTATAAACTCTCAGATTTAATCTGCAAGATTGGAGAGGTGAAAACATCTGCAAATCCACTACATAAGCTCTGAGTGTTAGTGAAACAAACCCTGTGATTCCCTTTTATTGGAGCCACCTCTGAAAAAACAGCATCGCTCTCCTGGCAGCTACGTTTTGCAATGAGATCCGAGGATCACTCTCTTGCATTTCCCTGCTATCTCAAGATTTCAGCCTTGGTGCTTTTAACGCTGCTGTGTTACAACATTTTCACTGAGCAGAAACAGAGAAGAAATGGGCATATCAGAATGCACCAGCCAGCCCTAGTTAAGGTATGTACATTATCTTCTGAGATAAAGGTGCTACTAATTGATCTTTTCACCTCTGTATAATAAAACCATGACAGCAGAAAAATTGTCTTCTGCTAGCAAGAGAAGTCAGACCAATAAAGAGGAATAGGGAGAGAAAAGCAAATGAACTGGAAGTCATCTCTCCCATGCCAAGCTGCAGATTTCAGAGGATTTCGCTTTATTTTCCGAAATATCCCCGAACTCGACATCACTTCTCTTGGGTCCCACACTTCCCATGCTAGGAGGAGCTGATGGAGGCTAGTTACCTTAGTCAACGTTCTGTTGGGGGGCACTGGCCTGATATCAAACTTGAGATCTGCTGTCAAAGGCAGTCCAAAGCTCCAGCCACCATACCTGAGTGAAAAACAGAGGGAAATACATTACTACCCTCATTCAAAAGCTTTAATACCTTTGGCTGGTGCATGCCAGCATGCCATTGTTGCCCCAAATAATTCTAGCTTGACTTAAAAGAACTTACCGCAGTACGTAGTGCATGGCCAAGCCAACAGAGTTGCAGGAATTCTTACTTGGGGGTAAAAGGGCAACAGAAACTTGGCAGCACTACCACAAAACTGGGCTGAAAGCCTCCATTTGAGAAACATTTTGGAGTTGTGTGGACTCCTAAACTGCTTGTCTACCACACTGGAATAAGATGACTGCTTCTTACCCAGCAGACAAGCAGCTTGGTTTAAATCAATTGCAGATGAACATATTCCTGGATAACCTCCACAGCAGGCTATTTTTGCCCCAAGACATGCAGCGCAGCTCTGTTGTAGAGTCCAGACACACTAAGAGCTCTAACACCTCCATGGTGCAAGAAAACGTTCAGCCTCTAATCTCACTGGAACGGATGCACTTGTTTAAGCGAAGCACACTCTGAGACTCTTCAGAGAATCAAACTTGGAGGAAAGTCTCTCCCCAAGAGAGATACTTCATGACACATTGTGTCAGATTTTCCTCTTTTTAAGCATTTCTGAGTCAGACAAAAGCTTGTCTGTGCATCCAGCCATCAACATATGAGGTGAAGGACACATTATCCCTAGGCTATCTCTATGATCAAGCAGAGCACTTGCATGAACCTTTAACTCCATGATGGCAGGATGTTTTACCTTCTTTCACAGGATTCACAGAGCACATCAGCAGAGAGGGCCTTCTAAAGCCCTGCTGCACTGTCACCTCTCCAAGGACAGTGGATATGATAGCTACAAGAGGATGGTCCCTGTGCAGTTCAGAGGAGGAGGACTGGAGGTTTGTGCTGTACCGTTTCTGCAGGAAGTCTTTGGTAGTTGCCAGAATGTAGGTCTCCATATTGTGCCCTGTAAGGTTATAAAGCGTCCGTGTAGAGAAGGTCCTTCTGTGAGGGGGCGTGTAGTTCGTCTGTGGACACGTCTGAGGGGAGATAAATGAACAAAAATATTAGTATCTGTGTTTTAGCTAAAAACTAGCATACCGGAACAAGAATGAGAGCAGACAATGGCAATATTCTGGTCCTGGGTCTGATTCCTAGAGAAACTGATGATTTGCAAATCAAGGTGCAAAGACACATGGCATACACTGCTGCATGCTGTCCTGATCATATTTAGCGAGGTGCTTAAAAACAACCTCTGCTAACTTCAGTTCTACTGACATCAGTGAGACCTTGAGATGTGCTTCATGCTGTGTAGGAAGATTTTCACCGAATTCAGGCTGATCCTACTTAGCAGAGCATCAGAGTGACTGCACAGACAACCGCAGAGGGCAAAACAACTCACGGAGCAGAAAACTCCATGGTAGCCTCAAACTCTCATCTTGCATTTCACAGCAGCTCCACTCTGCATTTTCACTTTACTGTCAGTCCTTGGGAATATTTTCCAGAGCTTCAGGGAAACCTTAGATTAGACCTGACTATATAATTTAACACGCTGAGGGTCAAAGTCACCTCGCCTGTTTCATTAGGTTGAACTTTCCTAGCAGATAGTTCGTCGGCTGCTCCTTCAGCTCATCCATAACAAACCCCCTGGCTTCCCCCATTGTGTATCTGTTCATAACTTTGCATCGGAATACACAAAATAGCTTCCTTCATGCTGAAGAACACCTGCCGGTGCCTGCTGGAGGTGAGAGTTATCCTGAACATTATCCTGACTTACTGGAGAAATTATGACAATCCTTTTAATGATGTGAAATGAAGTGTATGTCCAGAAAAGTTCATAAAACAGCTGCATTTTAAGGAACGACGAGGAACATTCGACTAAGTACATGCATTATCTTACAAATGGGATCACAATGCACCATGAGTCTGATTTCCTACTGGAAAAAAGGTGAAGACTGGAGGGAGGAGAGCTGAACTTCAAACTGGACTGTAAAACTGCCCTCGGGGCAGAATCTGCCTTTTCCCGTGTGAATTTAAAGACACTAAGCCCAGCAGTGCCCATATCTTGCTCTGTGTGTACCACTGTAATGCAAATAACTAATACTATTAATCACCACTATTTACAATATAAATCAGAGCAAAAGTAGATAGATTTAGACATTGCATAAAGTTAACTTCTGAAGAGCAAGCAGCAGTAATAGCTGTGCTTTCATATAATGACAGTGCTTGTATAAAATGCAATTTTCCTCTTGAATACACCTTCACCTCTGCTAAATGGGACAATCATACAACATTCAAAAATACCATTAAACCTTTTCCCACTGTGGGGAGCAAGGTAGATACATTAGCAAGTGAATCTTCTGAGGATGCTGCTGCCTCTCCTGACCCCAAGCTGGTGCAGACAGTTGGTTATATCCAGTGTACAAAATCAAAAAGGCCAAAAAGAAACAGGAGGAATTTGAACACCGAGTTCCCCTTAGCACTGTGCCTGCCTACAAGAACACTCCCAGTCTACAAGGTCCCTCAAATATACCCCCAGCTGCCTCCCACTTTTGGGTTTATTCACATTACCTGGATTCCATCTGTGCAGTTGCAGGCAGAATACGTAGTTGTCTGGTTTCCACTGAAAATCCACTGGCCAAGCATGTCCTCATTTAAACACTGCCTGAAAATGAACACATTGTCCTCTGAGGTTCTCTACGTTCAGGTGTGCAAATGATGCTAATTGCTGTCATGCTGAGTGACAGTAAGGACAGCGGTGAGTAGCTTCAGCAGAAAAGCAGACCTTCTTGTTGGCTCTGGGTGCTTCAGGGAACACCCATCCTCCTGCTGCCTTCAGTGCCTCTCGGCAGAGAGCCCTCACTACAGCTCTCTGCACCTGGATTTGTTCAGCTCATTAGGAGGAACCCAGACACCACTTGGTTCCCACTGCAAACAGCATAAGGAGTCAGCACACAAAGGCCAAAGTCAACTTACAGTGCAGAAATAAGAGCTGTTGTCATTGCAGTAGCTGGGGAGTCCCGTGAGGGACTGTATTGACTGGGCAGTCACTGCAAATACTCAGTAGAAATATTTATCTGCACATCTGTGGCACATGTGAGCATACAAGTCTGCCCGGGATTTTACTATCAACTCCTCGAAAATTTATCTGCAGAGACTAAACCAAACCAGCCCTTGTGGCACAACTGTTAGATACAGACAACAAAAGCCATTCTGAGACCTTTCTGGGTGGGCTCAATGTTATAACTGGAATTATTGGGGAAGCAAGGACTACTTCCCAGATGAGAAAATTAGCTTCTTCTCATCCTGGCACCCTGCCACCTCTAAGGCTACTTCCTTACTACTCATAGTAATAAAGGAGTCCACTTGTGGTGGTGAATACTTTTTGAGGCAAGCAAAGAACATCAGCATCAAGGTCCAAGGACTATGTGGAAGTCTCAGACTCATCCTTAAAGCACGAGGTAGTGTCCTGTCTTCCAGAATATCTATAGTTCTGTGCTGGCAGAGGCAAGCCTGCACTCCAAGCCACGTGGGAGCCACAGAGGCTCTCGGTGGGGCTGAGATCTGCTTCACACCAATCATGAGACTGCACAGCTCCCTGCTCAGAGCTGATTTGCATCCCACCAGCTCAAGTCTGTGAGCCGCACAAGCCTGCGCCTGCCTGCAAAAGGCCAGTTAGACATCTCCTAGCCACCTAAAAGAGCCTCAGGAGAGGCAGGAGATTATTTTTTTTCTCTGCATGTGGCACCAATGTATGAAAATTCTGCAGATGATCAAAGATGGCTGTTAATGGCTAATAGTGTTACGTCAATTCTCTTGTAGACTCGGAATTAAAATGGAAAAAAATCAAGAACTACTTACGAATTGCTTTCATTCATGCATGTGTTATCCGTCCCAGGGAAAGCAAGCATCGAAGCGACTAATGCACCTGTGGTTTCATTATAATTCCTAAGATTTAACAAAGAATAAAGAAAACAGGAAAACATTCAAAGTATTTCCACTACCATCAAGCAGAGGAAAAATGTGTCTGAATTAAGAAGAATTTACTTAAGATATTAATTAAATTTATTTTATTTAGGATTAATTTAAGATATTAAATAAATTATTTATTGTGCTAGCCCTGCAAATCACTTAAGTACATGCAACACAGGAGGACAGTCACACAGGTTTAAAAGGAAACCAGACACAACTCCAGGCTCATCGCTTAGAGCTGTGCAGCTATTTCAGTGATTTGCTGCCTCTGGATCAAAACTAGATACTGATGAACTTTTGGCCATCTTAATCACACTGAAAAAATGCACATGCCCTTCAGATTGACCACGTGCCTTGGACTAGTGGAGCCTGGGCAGGAAACCATGTCCTGTACCAACAGAGAGGGCAGCAACGCAGGCAGTTCACAGGATGGATAGAATTGGACCTGAGAGTTGTAACGTTGGACACAACTGATGTGGGGACCTCCCTTTCACATTGGAATGAGTGTATTTATTAAGAAAATCCCTATGGGACAGTATGGCTGTCAAATGGCCAGAGGACTCCAACAGGAAACCCAAAGAATATTCCTCACACTTCACAATTCATTCCATCTGAAAGGTTGTTCTTCCAAAGTTTTCTGATGGCTGGTGTGAATCTGCTTCAGAGATCCCTTTGGAACAGGATTTCTACACATTAGCTGTGTGACACAACTGCACAGACAACACAGCACTACGTGTTACCAGCTTAATGCTTTTCCACTGGGTGTGCTTAGAAACAATTCTGACAGTAAAACTGGTGCTTTTTTAAATAAAAACATGTTTAAGGATGACAACACCACTCACCCAAAGAAGTCCACCTGGTCAGATGTGCCGTACAGGGAGGGAGAAAGAACCAGTTCGGGATATTCAGTCTCCTTAGTTCTCAGTGTCCCCAGTCCCATCGCAGCCATCACGAAGAGGACTGGGAGGATGACCTGAGCTATGAAGCCTCTGACATCCCGCCGGGTATGGTGGAATCTCTTAATGAACAAAGCTGATGTCTTCTTAAGCAGCAACGGCAAACCCTGCAGGCTTTTTGATCTAATCAGGAGCTGATCTGGGTACAAAAGAAGGCAACGTTTTGTCATGGATCTGTATTTGTGAAATGCAGAATTTGATGGTTCTAGTATCCTTGAAGTATATTTAGCTCCTTACAGACGGCAAATCAAAACTGAAACACATGCAATGGTCAGACTTGGGACAAGACTCAGATGTTGGCTTTTGAGTCATAAACTCACGTAAAAACAGGTTTTTTTGTTTGGTTTCAAATGCATGCATGTGGTGAATTATCTTGTGATCTTGCAAGAGGAACACACACTTCCAGATGCAACAAATTATCTACATCCTACCTACCCAGCTGCAACAGGGGAAACATAGTCTTTTGCATTTGCAAACTGAAAATTTTCATAATTTAGAAAGCAGGTTCTCAGACGAATCAACAAGATAATTAATCCCAAAATAAGAAAACAAGGCACATAAACCAGTTGATCTTTTGCATGGACAGGGTTGTGGTATACCAAAAGCAGAGCCAAATCCTGTGCAACCTATTTTTCTTTATGAAATATTAACCCACATAACACAACATGAAGCAAATACTTCTCAGTGCTTTCATTAGGGGTGACACTTCTCTACACATACAAATTATTGTTCACAGTAACATTTATAGTGCAGGTCAGCTTCGAGAAGCAAATACAAAAATACCTTCTGTGTTGTCTCTTGGATGCCTCCCTAACTATAAATAGTGTATTTATAAGTTTCTACTCTGAGAAAACATTTCAACCAGCTATTTTCTAATTTTTGGGCCACACTGCCTTTTGCAGCATTCAAACCCTTAGAGGTACTGCTGTAGCTCAATTTTCTTCTGAAGATGAATTTACCCCACCGTCTGGCCCTTCCAAGCTGTTTCACCCTGCTGCAATGGCTGGGACACAGCAAACAGCAGCAAGGAGGACCCAACTTCGAACTGTGCTGCTTTTGCAACAGGGTAAGTGGTTTCCACAAAGATTCCCTGCAATTCTACTTACTATGTAGAAATAATCCTCTACATCAATTATAGCAATTACTTTCAGAGGTATATATTTGCTCTTTCACCCACACACTGTGTTTGATTAGATTAAAAACTGGATCAATTTAAAGGAAGGCGGATGCAAACAAACCCCCTCTGCAATTTATCCTGTGATTCAGACTATTCCAAACCAGAGGATCTAAACAACCACTGAACCCTGCACTTCTAGTGAATTATTGGTTTTGTGATGCCTGGTTGGTGAAATGTGGTTATCAACAAAGAAAGAAGACAGGGAACTCAAATCAGTCCATCTGTCATTGTTTGCATCTGCAACAAATCTGGAAGAAAACACGAAGGTAATATAGTACCGTCTCTTTCAGTGAAGGTGTCTGTGCTCACAGACATTTCATCACTGCCCATCTGACCACCTGCTCCAGGCACCTGTTGGGCAGGTTCAGCATCTTCTTGCTGGTTTTTCACAAGCTCTTTCGTCAGATTGAGAAACACCTATGGAGCAAGAAAATATGAAGGAAAATTGGTCCAAAAGACTCCTTTTACCAAATCCACTCTCCTACTTTGTAGCTGCAGTTGGTGCAGCAACTGTGAATTGCAATACTCTTTCTGATCCCTTTGTGCTCTACAAGAAAAATTCTTTTTTTTCCCAGTATAAAATTGTTGTTGTCCAGCTCCTTGTCACCTCATGTCTCTCCTGCTGCAGTAGTGGAAACAAACATTTGCAGCTGCCCCCTGTCCCTGAATAGGTGTAAATGAAGCTGCATTTCAGCTCAGGCTCGGCTCTCCCTGCACTGCATCAGTGAAGAAACAAGGAGGGCTGTTTCCCTGGGATATTTTCCCCTCTAGCCTCTGACAACCCCAGCTGCCTCCACACTGCTTGTGTGCACAGCCATGGCACCTGAGCTGCATTCTTGCTGCCTTAGGGAACCACCTTAAAATGAAGCAAGAATTTCTGAGCAAAAAGGTAACAATCATCTCT